CCCCCGGCCCCCGGTTCAGCCTGTCCTTGAAGGGAGGTGAGAAACGCCCAAGCTAACACTGGCTCTTGAAATGTAGCTGTGGGTGTTTTTGGAATTTTTCTACAGTGAACTCGATGTGCTTGTCCCTGTGCCGATCCCCTGTGCACTGGCCTCTGCCCAGTGTCCCGAGATTGCTGTGGCCAGAACCAGGGCAGAGCAGAGAGCTCTCACCTCATCACTCCTGAGGCCCAGGAGGAGCTGGGTGTCCTAGACTCAGGACCTTTCAAAATCACAGAGACGTGCAAAGCGGAGCATGTTTCTCTTACCGTGTGGCGGGGGTGTCGTGGGGAGGACAGGAGGGGAGCTTTTGCAAAATCCGCGTGCCCGCCTGGGTCTGCCACGTCAGAAACTTAGAGAGGGGAGCCGATAATTAAAAACTCTCTCCAGGTAATTCCGATGAGCATCCTGATTAAGAACAGCTGGTTGGGGGTTGGCCCTTGGCTTCTACTGTGAATTGTTTTTAGCTGCCTTGGCCTCAGTGTGTCCTTCCCTAAATAGGGATGGGACGGGATTGCCCTCCCGGAGAAGGGCACTAGGGAGCAAATAAGATAATGCAGTAAAAGCACTCGGTGGTTTTCCAGCATAACCTCATTAAAGTAGAGAGACCCACATGCTCCCTCTCCTTCCCAGCCCCGAAAACTGTTCCCTCTCCTGAAAACTTCCAGCATCAACACATGTGCCTTTTTCCCCCCTCCTTTCTCATATCTTTTATTATTTTGATGTGACTCAGTTTAGCCTCCAAGCCAAGGCTGTGGACATCCCAGCATTAGTAGAAGACAGCCTCCCCCACAAGGGGAGGAAACTCCTTCCACTGCCCTCTTTTCCTCACCTTCTTTTCTCCCCTCTTCCCAGGACCAGCTGCAGGCCCAGGACTTTAGCAAATTCCAGCCCCTGAAAAGCAAGCTGCTGGAGGTGGTGGATGACATGCTGGCCCACGACATTGCCCAGCTCATGGTGCTGGTGCGCCAGGAGGAGTCACAGCGGCCCACCCAGATGGTGAAGGGTGGAGCGTTCGAGGGCACCCTGCATGGCCCCTTCGGGCGCGGCTATGGGGAGGGGGCTGGGGAGGGCATCGATGATGCTGAGTGGATCGTGGCCAGGGACAAGCCCATGTACGACGAGATCTTCTATACCCTGTCGCCGGTGGACGGCAAGATCACGGGGGCCAATGCCAAGAAGGAGATGCTGCGCTCAAAGCTGCCCAACAGCGTGCTGGGCAAGATCTGGAAGCTGGCCGACGTCGACAAGGATGGCATGTTGGATGACGAGGAGTTTGCACTGGCCAACCACCTAATTAAGATCAAGCTGGAGGGGCATGAGCTGCCCAGTGAGCTGCCCGCCCACCTCCTGCCCCCATCCAAGAGGAAAGTTGCCGAGTGATGGGAGCAGGGGGAGGTTCAGAGCAGGCGGGTGTTATGGGAGATGGGAGGGATGATCTCACTCACACACACACACACACACACAAACACACACACAGGCACAGATCTTGAGAACGGCACTGCGCAGGACAGGGATCAGCGATCCCCGGGTTTCCAGGCTGACCTTTGTTTGGATGCAAGTTCTCAGCATTGGTAGAAGCACAGGGCCACGCCCAGGGCTGCAGCTTTCAAGCCTCCGGCTCCATCCCTCTCTCCTGCCCAGCTTCCCCTTCCCCTGCCAGAGACCTACCTTCTCCCGCAGAGGCAGTTAGTTCACTTGCCCACATGGACCACCCACCTCCAGAGTCCCCGGACTCAGAACAGATGGAAATACTTTTCGCTTAATAAGCAATTCACTTGTTTCTGAGCTTTCTCCCCATCTTTGGCTTCCTGATATGCAATCTGCTCTGGGGCCTGAAGGTGTGCAGGAAAGGGGGCTGCTGCAAGGAGGGGGCGGGGAGGAAAGGCATCCTCGGGGAACCAGGTTCCAGCCTTGAAAAGACAGGGCCCTGGGTTCCAGTCTTCCCCGGCCTCGGGTTCTGGCTGCCTCGGCAAACCTGGCTTTGAACCCCGCCAATACTTCATTTCAAAGAATCCCAGTAAGCTAGGGAGAGTCAGAAAATTGGCAGGAAAGAAGGCAAAGTAACTGTCTTGTCACCCTCATCTCAAAGCCAGTCAAGGTGGTTTCATTCTGCAGGTTTTGTGAGGTTTCTGTTTTTTCCACCTGGCCTCTGATGTGTGGATGTTCAGCCTCGACTCACATTGATCCAGCCCCTCCTGTATGTCAGGACCTGTGTTAGGAACTTTATAGACACAGCCCATGTGGCCCTCACCAATCCCCAAGGGAGTATGCATTGGCGCCCCCATTTTTCCAGTGAGGAGTCTGAGACTCAGAGTTTAAGTGACCTTCCCACAGTCCCAGAGGTCACACATGATGGGGAAGGATTCAGAGCCAGGGCCTCGTTCTCCCCTCTGCCGTGAAGATGTGTGCAGGATCCCAGCATCGATACCCCGGGGCCAGCCATGGAGAGCAAGCCCAGCTTGCAGGCCCCTCAGCCTCCCAGAGCCGGCTGGCGAGCGGGAAGGGCCATCAGTCTGGCCATCTGTCACATTACAGAAGCAAACCGTGCCTTCTGGCTATGCTCCCCATGTTCCAAAAATTGCAGAAGTCCAACAGCACCAGCGGGAGCGTAGGCCTGCCTGCTGGATGCTGCTCATGTCTGTCCCTGCTCTACCTCCCACCGGTAGCTCAGTCATCCCAGCTCAAATGCAGCCCCTGACTCCATCAAGTGGGACCTCATGCTGACTCTCAGATGGCCGTCTGAGGTGTTCCCAGCAGGACCCCCAGCAACTCCAGTGTCCTTGACAGATCCCCACCATTCTCAGTGCCCTGCTCCCTCCATGGCCTCTCCCTGCTTCATGGCCACAGAACCAGTCACTTTTTATGCTATGCTCCTACTGTGTTAGAAAATGAAAACAAGTGTAACTTATTTTATATCTATATTCTGACTATATGGAGAATATTCTATGTATCTATGATGTGCTCACTACTGTAGTGTGTTTGTCATTAGTGTTCATGTTAATACAGCACATTTATCCTTTGGTACCCAGTTGGCTGCAGAGCATCATTCCATGGGAGGCCGAGGTAGAGGGGCTGGGTTCTTTCCTGAGGGTCCTGGTAGCATCTTTGGCAGAGGATTGGGCTGCCTGTGGCAGCATCCACACAGCATCCCATTGTCCTGATGACTGCCCAGTGATTCCATAGGCCTCCCTTGTGGATTCCCCTCTCCCTGCCCCTCTGGAGTGGAGATGGTACCCAACTCTCTCGGCTTCCTTCTGCATCTGCGCATTCCTCTTTCTCATGAAGCAAAGGGCAAAGGAAGGCCAAGGCAAAGAGGTCTAGCTTCCCCTAACTTGAGTGCCGAGCCCAGGAGAGACCATTGGTCAGCTCTGTGTCTTTCTTTGAGCTGAAGGAAAATGGGAAGGACAACAGAGAGAGTGGTTTCTGTCTTTTTATTTTAGAAGGATGGGGGTGTCTTAGTCCCCTTACCCCACAGCCACTTGGACACATGCTCCACCTTCCTGCCCTGCCTCTCTCTACCTCTCCTTCCCTTCTCCAGACTACACCCGGAGAGATCTGTGAGGCATGGGAAATCTGGGTTGGCACTTTTCCCATCTCCCAAGAAAGAGGAAATGGTGCTTGAGGCGCCTCTCAACAGCTGGGGTCACTTTCTCTGGGGCTGTCCCTCTGGCTCTTGCTGCCTCAGCCTACTGACCTCTTGCTGGCTCCAGGGGCCTGGGGAGACCTTGTCCCTCAGCTGGGAAACATTTAATACAGAAAGCAGATGCATGTCATGGCAGTCTCAAAGGCAAGAATCCCTACACACCCACTGTGCTGCAGGTCCTTCCCCACACACCACTCAGCTGGGGGTCACAGAGGTCATCAGATACAAAGAGCACACCCTACACATTCCCCAGGAAAGCCTGAGCCTGGCACTGAGAGCTACATCTTGACCAAAGTCTAGCTGTGTTCAGGGACACTGCTGGTGACAGTAGGGCCTGGGCCTTGGTTTAGAGGGGTGAGAGGTTGCCCTAAGTCATTCCCCCTTCCATTTGTCCCCTCTGTTCCAAGAGCTTGCATTGATGTGTTAGCTAGTCAGAATCAGCAGAGCTATCTGGAAGAATAGGTTTTCTTTTCCCGAGGAGATGGTAACTGGGCTCTATGCATATTCAATTCTTTACTCTTTAATTTGCTCATCCATTCATCCNTCTTTTCCCGAGGAGATGGTAACTGGCCTCTATGCATATTCAATTCTTTACTCTTTAATTTGCTCATCCATTCATCCATCTATCCATCCATTCTTTCTTTCTTTCACTCAGAAGACCCTGAGAGCCTTCCTCAGAAGAGGTCTAAGGGAACCCTAGTCATTTTAATGTTAAGCCACTGAGAACCATGGGCAGTTTATCACCCAGCATAACCTAGACTTATCATGACCAAAAGACCTGGCAATTTCTTCCAAAAGCACAGGTTAAAGAGAGAAAGGTTAGGAGACTGAGTTCCTGCCTTCTTCAAAACCAAGGCCACCCGAAGCTGAAGTCATGGGTGATTTGCACAGTCCTTTCACAGTGAGCCACATTCTGCAATGTCCCAGAACCAGTCCTTCAACATCACTTTTTAAACTGAATAACTTTGCATTAATGGAATTAAACACTGCTAGGCCTTGTCTTCTTCCTGCAATAATATAGATACTGGGGATTCACTTGGCATTTGTCTACCTTGTCAAAGGGCATACAGTTGAGAAAGAGAAACTATAATTCCCAGACTCCCTTGCAGCTAGGATCAGGGTGTGATTTCAGGTCCTGCCAATCATATTTGCACATGGGAGTTTGCTGAAGCGGGTCATGCCAGAGGTGAGCCCAGCAGATAACACAGAGCTTCCTGACTTTGCAGTTTTCTGTGCTCAAGGACCTGGAAGTCTTATTTGTGAGGTCAGCTGAAGCAGTGACCTGCACCAGTGACAGCACTGTCAATGCCCATATGCCATCTCATGTTTCCCTACCTGACTCTGGAGCCTGAGCATTGCTGAAATGTGCAGTGGGAACCCAGGAGCAACAGGGAGGGTTTCTAAAAGTGTGTGTGTGTGTGTGTATGTGTGTGTGTGTATGTGTGTGTTGGGAGGATATGCTGAAGTAGTTCTTGCTGGATAAGTGAGAAGGAGAGAGAGGGTATGGTAGGTTTTTCCAGAGAGAATGATGGCTGGGAGAAAGGCCATATTAAAAATAGCAATTCCATCTACTCCCTTAGAATTTCACGAGGGGCAATGCCCCACCCCACCCCAGGGACCATCATTGAAGCGTAATGGTGGCGACCACAGCCTGAGGGCAGGTCAGCACTAACACCACTCCCACACACCATCACACAGAGAAAAGGCTGAATGGAGCTGGGACTGGGGAAATCGGGCCACCTGAATTCCAGCATCAGGACAAACCATGTGGCCTCTCTGTGCCTCTGCTTACTTTTCCCCTAAATAAAGATCATTTCAATCTTTTTGAGATATTGTAAGGATACTAAAAGACGATAGCTGGGAAACTTCACTAATAACATACAGTCTGCACAGGTGAGTTGTGCTGACATGTGCTAGAAGGGTCATGGTTCGGGAAAGAGATGAGAATCTTATCTACGGGAAGGAAGGAAAGCTAGTAAGCCTGGTAAAGGCACCAAGGGAGAAAAGAATGGAAGAGGGATGTGGAGGATCTGGGGAGAGCAGTGCTTACACTGCTTGAATACCTGAAAGGTGCTGGGGGCCTGGAGACTACCCATGGGTACCTGCAGGCCCTGACCCACCATGGCCCCTGCTGCCTGTGTGAATGCACAGCCCTCAGTCCTGGCCTGGCCTCCAAGCCATCATGATCTGGTGCTGACGATGGGCTGTGAACACTCCAAGTGCACTCATCGGGGTGGGTTTGGGGCAGGGGGGAGTGGTGACATGATTGCCTGGCTCCCATGCGGACCACCTAAGAATTTCACAGAGAATAGCAGATCCTCCAATAGATTGAATGCATGACCCAAATGGCCAGTGTCTATCTTCACAAAGTTTCGGAACAACACTATTGTGGAAGGTGAAGCCTCCTATTCTGGAAATGCCAGCCAGTGTCTTCTCGAAGCATTTCTGAATCCTTGTTTTAAGACAAGGAGCTAAGGAAGTAGCAAAAACCAGATAAGTGTAGAGAAAACATAACCCTCCATGCATCTCATCTCACCTGGTGTTCGGCTCACTTCTGAGAGGATCGCTGACTTGTCGGCATGATGACACTGGCGAAATCTGACTTCAGTCCTGGTTTACTTTTTCACAAGCCACATCCTCTCCCTTCTTTCTCTTGTCTTCCTCCCACCTAACCCATCCCAGGATGCAGAGGGTCACCCCTCCCCTGTCTGGGTTTTCTTTCCTCTCCAGGCCAGCAACGTGAACACACACACGCACACACACGCACACACACACACGAATCCCATCATGCGTCTGCTCCAC